CTGAGGTCTCCACACAATTCTCCCTTCTCCAGAATGAACATTCCCAGCTTTCTCACCCTGAAATTCTGTGAGTTCTGCCTCACCTTGAATCAGGCTGGGAACTTTGGGCTCTCTGATCCCCTCTCCTGYCTCCAGACTCCAAATCCCAAATGCTCCAGCTCCCAAGGAACATCTCTGCTCCATGTGCTCCATGCAGAACAGTCCAGGAGCCACCCCCAGTGCCCCCAGTGCCCCCAGTACTCACGATTCCAGTGCTGTGAGAAGGGGATCTGGCTCTGGCACATCCTGGAGCTGGGTGCTCTGGTCTCTGCTGAGCCTGATGATGTCACACAGGGTTTGGGAAGCGTTGGATTGCCTCTGGAACAGGGACAGGAGCAGTGTCAGTGCCCAGCTGGGACCATCCCCATTCCTGCTCCCCTCTGCAGTTACTCAGGGCTGGATATCCCTGGAGCAGCAGTGTCAGTAAATGGTGAACTCAGAGGAGATCAGCCCAAATGTGACCATCAACAGCAGCTCAGGAACTCAGGGATGAGGGCTCTCTATTCCCTCCTCCTCAATCCTGTTAACCTGCACATTCCCAACACACACATCCCATCCTCCCTCCCACTGCTCAGCTTTCCTGCTTGAACATCCTTGAAAAAACCATTTCATTTCTGGGATCAAAGGGCTTTTCAGGGCTGTTTGAGGCACCCATGCTCTGGCCATCAGCCAAACCCCCTGGAGCTGCTGTACCTCAGCTCTGCTCCAACACAAATCCATGGGGACGTTCCCCATTTTCCTCTCAGTTTGTCTGGGATGAGCTCAGGGAGTCAGGCTCAGAGAATGGCATCCTGTAGACTTTACAACTATTCCCACATTTCCTACTTCAGGGCTAAAATGGCGTGAAATGGTTGATTTTAAAGGATGTTTTGAAAATGGCATAAAATGGTTGATTTTAAAGGATTTTCCAGGAACAGCAGGTTCCTCCCTAATCCCAAGGGAAGTCTCCACTGTCTGCAGGTTTGAGATGAACTAAGGCAGCAGAACCAAGAATTTGGGACTAAAATAAATCAAAAGTAGATTCAACCACTCCAGAATCATTTGGTGCTGAGCAGAGGAGGGGACACCTCAAGGCCAGGGTGGCACCTCTGCAGGTCACTGGGACAATGCCCAAGGGAAAAGGGAACCTCCAGGACCCTGCAGGACCCTGCAGGACCCAAATCCCCAGCCCTGGTCCCACTCACATCCTCGTCCTGGCTCGAATGGATCAGCTCCACGAGTCTCTGGATAATCCTGGCTTCATTCAGCCACTGCAGGGAAAAGAGAGGGAGAGAAAATCCTCACTGGATGTCCAGGAGTTTAGAGCAAGTGGGACTCTGGGAAGCTCTTCAGGAAGGGGAAGCCATTCCTTCCCTCTTCTAATCCCATTCCTGAGGCACAGACAGGGATGGATTTGGATTTGATTCAGCATGGATGGGGATGGATTTGGATTTGCATCCTGCCATGGAACTAAAAACCCAAATCCCCCTGGAAAACACAGATTGCTCCAGTGCCAAACAGCCTCATGAGAGCAGCAGTGGCAGAGCCACCACCACGTTCTTCCCCCAGCAGCTCCAGCTCTCCCTGCTGCTCACACTCAGCCATTCCTTCTCCTTCCAGATGTTGGAACAGCTGTCACTGTACCCTGATCCTGCTCTCAGTGCATTTCCTATCTCACTTCTCCAAAGGYTCCCTTCCACTCCTCCCTGCCCAGCCCCACTCATCTCCACCTGCCTCCATTCCCATCCCTACACTCCTTGCTCCAGGAGAACTGCTGCATGTGTGACATGCCCCAAACTCATCCCAACAGTGCCCAAACTCAGCTGTCTGGGAAATGATCAAACTTCCACTGCAAGGAAAAATACTTTGCAATGACAGGATCAGGGAATGGWTTGGGTTTTGAYGGGGCTGGGAGCAGCCTGGGASAGTGGRAGGTGTYCCTRCCATGGCASGGGTGGCACTGGATGGGCTTCAAGGCCCTCTCCAACCCAAACCATCCCATGATTCCCTGATCCTAAGATTCCTCAGACATGGTGAGGAATCAGATAATTCCTGTCTCAATCAACCAGGGTGAAGTTCAGAACACAGATTCCCTTTTTCCAAGCTCTCCAGCTGGGCTGAAGAGTGGCTGCTCCATGAAAAACTGAGCTGGGACCCCTTTGGTGCCAGGGCTGATCCAGGCTGCTGCCCTGGAGCCACAACTGGGCCAAGAAACCCCATGGAAGTGATTCCAGCACTGGGGAAAGGAACTGCCARAGTTCCTGGAATGACACAGCCCAARATGCAGGGACAGGAGRMTGGAAAGGCCCTGGGGAGGAGGAGCAGCCTCACGTTGAGCACGTCCTGGCGCAGCGCCGCGGGCTCCACGCAGCTGATGAGGCGCAGCAGCAGGTCCATCATGGCAGAGGTGTCGATGTGCTTTAGCACCAGGCTCAGGAACTTGTCCTTTTTCCTCAAAAACGAAATCACCTGCAGAGAGAGGAGCCCCATCAGCTGCCAGCAGGACACAGGGCTCCCTCACAATGCCCCACAATGCCCAGATCTCCTTCTTGTCTCAACCACCAACCTYGATGCCAAAGGTGGGGTGGTTGTTCCAAGGCAATACCAAATCAGATCCTTTCAGCCAACTTTTCTCCCCTCTGTGCCACAAAGAAACCCAAGGACATGGAAATAAATGAAGCTGGAGAATTTTCCTTTCTTCTCAAGCTCTCTGCTAGCCAGCATTTAAAACCAACATTCATTGGGATGTGAGTATTCCTAAATCCCTGTTCAGCCCGAAGTGCCCCCTCGTAAGGATGAGCCTGGCTTTGTTTATGGGTTGGGATGACTCTGATGACCAAAGGATGCCTCACAATGCCTTGGTATGACAAGTGAAGCTTTAGCTGTGGCACAGGGATATCATGGCTGTTGCAGATCCCAACACTCTGGGAATAGAGTGTTGTGTCTGTCCATGACAGCACCTCCCTGCTCTGAGGAATCCTGAAAACTTTCCAGAAATTCCATTTCACTGCTAACCTTAAACCCAGCTCCAGGAACACCAAGAGCTCACAGCAAGGACACAACACCAGGGAATTCACTGATGCCACAGATCAGGATAAACCCCATCCCTACCTGTTCTGTTTTGCGTGCGATGAGGTTGCCGATGGTCTTGCTGAAGAAGCTGGCGAGCAGGGGGTTCAGGGGGGGCTCGTGGTCCAGGAAATCATAGAGGATGTTGAGCAGGGTCTCATCCCCACCCAGTTTGTCGTTGATCTGTGGCACGTCCGAGGTGAGCAGCTCACAGGCTGTGTTGGGGTACCTGGAACGACACAGCCAAGGTGACTGCAGTGGAAATGGGAACCCCATGGATACTGCACTTTGGGAGGGGTTTCCTTATCACAGGGAGGAATTCCTGCCTGGGAGGATGGGCAGCCCTGGCATGGGGTGCCCAGAGCACCAGAGCTGCCCCTGGATCCATTTGAGTGCCCAAGGACATTGGGGCTGGGAGCAGCCTGGGACAGTGGGAGCTGTCCCTGCCATGGCTGGGTGGGCTCTAATGTCCCTTCCCACCCATCCATTCCATGGATTGTAACCAAACTGCAACCTGATTGTAACCAAACAGGTGAATAATAAGGGAAGGTGGGGCYAAGGACAGTGTTTTTAAGAAGGAAWTCCTGCTGGGACACCAAGGGCTGATTTMATGCAGCATTTTCTTGGCAGTGCTTTGGAGTCACAAACAGAGCAGGCCCAGAAGTGGCACCAAA